TACAATTGACAAACTCACATAGGTTATGTTTACTACTTAAGAACAGCTGATGAGAGGGGTGTTATGTAAACAAACATGTGTACCAACTGTTGGTGATGAAATATTTCATTTGTTGAAAACTCAATATACATATATATAATATAATGATACTATATCTTGAAAACAAGAGCTAATATATAATTTTTATGGTCACTTTCGGTTTCAACACGTGGAAATACATTAAAATCATCTAACTTCAACCCCGAAACATAAACTTTGTTGTGTTGTGAGTGTCATCTGAACATCAATTATTTCGAACTATATTTTGACTAGAGGAAACGAATATATCGTTCAGTTGAGCGAACATTAGACACGAAAAAGTTGGAATAAATTAAATTTTTTGCTAAGTACATAACATCCATTGAAAATACTCGCAAATTTATTTTGCGAGTATTTCTAAGTCTCTATTTAGAAGTCTCCACTGAACAGTTTACAAAACTGATTTTCATCACATAAAGCAGATGATGTTCTTGATAGTTTCAGGTTTCATACTGAGAAAGTCAAACTGCTCATTCATGTTTCAGCTCATCTATTCTATAGGTCTAATATATCTGGCAGTGTGAACTTAAAATTATTTGTCATAGATGATCTTCCAAGTACAAATTTCAGGCTAATTTTCTACCGATTACTGGAGAGTCTCTATGGATTCATTTGGTACTGCATTTCTATTTTTCATCAGTTTTCCGTTTTGAATTCTGTTAGAGACTTTAAACTATCCCACCTAACCTAGTGTTTCAATTTTTTTTGCGAAAAACAGGAATAGGTTATTATAATGGTTAAAACCCATCGTTTAGCCTTTATAATCGATGAAAGAAACTTTTTAGCCAAAACATCCCGACAGATAATATTTATCCATACTATATGTTAGAAATCCTTCATTCATACAAGCACTTTTGTAGAAACCTACAGATTTAAAAGTAGTCCGACTCTGCCGCAATACCATCACTCCCAGAACTAAGTGTTTCTTAACAGTTTTATAGGGGTAACATAGTAGCTATAATACGTTGAAATGCTTGCTACTGATACCAATTTATTTTATAGAACGACGCCATTTTAATTGATAGCGATCCGGGATACTGAAATTAGATGAGTTGAAAATATGAAATATATATAACATTATATTATTTAGAATGAAGTGAGTTAAGTTTGTGACTAGAAAATTGATACCTCGACAGAGTGAATTTTTGTACAATTAATAATGTTACCGAAAACATTTATAAATGAGTGGCGCGCTTAGATTTTGCTAATAATAGGCTATATATTTGTCAATAAATTTTCATTTGCAGTAAAAATATCAATCTTCGAAACACAAACAATATCTTTAACAGTTTTATGAGTGCAAAAGTGGAATTTTAATATTGGTTTTGAAGTATCTACATCATACACTGCTATCCGTGTTCAAACTTCATTTGAAAGTGTGTTATAGATTTTGAATACACCTTACACAAAAAATTACTGAAGGTGTCGACAATATCCTGAGGATTCTCGACTTTGTTTCTTAGATAGCTTACAGATCCGGGTATTCTAAGAGTGATTATATGATCAGAATTTGCTAGGATCTCTAGACAACATATTTTTTATGTTGACAAGATAGTTATCATGGGCAGTTTTGATTTGCTTTTAATCAAAGTACGCAAACGCAGGAATTCTATCTTCATCACGACAAAATTTCCTAAATTTTTTCCTGTACTGTACCTTTTGTTTCATGTTTTTTTATGATATCCCAAAGAAATCCTTCAGGATAAATATTACTAAAATTTTTGAATTTTGTTACTTATTCATAAAAAATGCCATATGAAAAGCATAGCATATGGCAAATCTATTTTATTTTGGACCAGTTTATCGAATCGCTCTTGAACATTTCTGTAGAAAACACATAATAGTGTCAACAATGAATGCTTCAAAGAATTATGAGTAGAACCTAAAGAGATTCCTTGTAACCCCCACTTTATTTTTTGGGATCGAGTCTCATGTGAAACATGTCCTTGAACTGAAATTTCTTCGTAAATCTATAATAAAAACTGATCCGTATGATGGAGCGTGATTTTTTCAACCATTTTTTTTTCAGGTTATGCTTCTCCACACGATAGATCCCCAGATATAATTCCAATCGATGGAGGAGTGAAAGGAGACGGTGTAACGACTCGTTACTGGGACTGCTGTGCACCATCCTGCGCATGGGACGAAATCGTTCACACCAAAAACGGGATCCCCATCCAGACCTGCCAAAAAGACGGTATAACACCCAGTAGAAAAGAAGACAATGCGCAATCGGGCTGCGTGGAGGGTGGTCAAGCTTACACTTGCACCAACCAATCCCCCTACCTCGTCAACGAGACCCTGGCTTTTGGATTTTCAGCTTCTTCCTTCAACGGAGGCATAGATACTGCGCAATGCTGCATGTGCGTACTGCTCTCTTTCAAAGACCAGTTGGCTGGCAAGCAAATGCTGGTGCAACTGACCAACACTGGATCTGACTTGGGGCAGAATCACTTCGACATCGCCATTCCCGGAGGAGGAGTTGGAATATTCACCCTTGGGTGCTCTACTCAATGGGGCGTCCCTGAAAACGGCTGGGGAGAGAGATACGGTGGAGTAACTTCCATAGAGGAATGTGACGAGCTGCCTGATGTTCTGCAAGAAGGCTGCAGGTTCCGCTTCACGTTTATGGAAGGTGTTTCCAATCCCGCTGTTTCCTTTTATCAAGTTAAGTGTCCTGCTGAGCTGATAGATATTTCAAAATGTGGAGATTTGGATTGAATAAATTATAGTTGAGGAAATTTTGTTTCATTCCGCAGAGGAGAGATATAAGAGTAGAAAGAACAAGTACAACAAGCAAGACTAACTCAGGTATAAGCAATTGCGTAACTGCATACTCTCTTCAATGAGAAATGGAAAACGATAACAGTTTAGTAATTTCTTCAGAAGGAATGATAGTATGACAGAGGCAGGGGAAATACAATGTTTTGTGAATTATTTGATTCTAATTCAGTAGTTGATTATTCTTCTCAAAGTTGGAGGGAATGTAGTAATAGTACCTGTAAAGACGCAATACAGTTCTATAACAGTCACTCTTGTCGGTTGAAAGGAGAGCAGATTCATAACCGCTTATTTGAAATAAAAATTACAGCTTCTGGTATAGATACTGAAGGTCACGCTCAGTTTCAATTGATTCTTTTATAGATATCATTATTGACAGTATAGAAACGAAAAATCGATCCTGCCTCATGGAAAATATCCATGCCTATGGTGGTAAAATCAACAGAACTGGTAGTCCTCTGTGTCCAAAATAATGGCCAAACTCAGTATTCTCAGATTCCAGAATAAGCTCTCATCAGTTCATCAATTTCCACTTGTCAAACTTGATACCAGAAAAAATTTAGTGTATCTGATTCTCTTATTCAGGTTATAGGCACAGTTATTGCTGTTTTTGATTGAGAAAACGCCAGTATGTTAACACTTTTAGATTTTTCGAAAGTGTTTTATACTATCAATTATTATCTCCCACATATTAAATTCAAATATTACGGTTTTCCTGTTAGTTCGCTTACAGTTATCAGGTCGTATTTTACGAATCAAAATCAGAATAAAATTTCAAACGGAAGAAATTCGACTTTGTTGAAATTAAAACGGGAGTGCCACAAGGGAGTATTGTTGGTCCTATGTTTTTCATTATTTATACCTCTGATATTCTATGATATATAACCAGTTTTAACGTTCAAGTATATGCTGATGATTAGCATACATTACTTTCCTTAAATAAAACCCTCATGATGCATTTGAGTTATATTAAAAAACATATTACACGGACTTGAGTTATTTCACGATGTTCGACACAATGTCTCGAATTTGTAGAGCAGTTTTTTGGGGAATATTCTACCAGAGCAAACTCTTTAGCTGCAAGTAATATCTCATGTTTTCACATCAACACATCAGCTACTTTTGAATTGAAAATCACATTACAAACAGATTTTCAACATTAATGACAGAAAAGCATCTACTAGTACTACTTACTTTCACTCCTTGTACCTTGTCGAGAATGTTTTCTTTCAACTGTCGACCAAAAGTAATATCTTACTTTCAGTGGCCCCCTTTTCTGTCAACAGAAAAATCCAGTCATTCACTCAAGAGCATTCGTGACTAACGATACAATCGAACAATACGGAACCGAAACTTTTTAATAGTTCCTCGTTATCTGAGCCAGTTGAGTCAGTGTTACATGTTTACAATCATTAATACCAGTCTACGAAAAATGTTTAAGAGCATCACGTCAATCAAAGCTCCATACAAGTTTCTTAATTGGTAATAAACTGCTATTAATTCTCTTTTCTGAAAGCCGACATGTCTTTAATATCCGCAGGTGAATTGATAAACCATCTTAAGGACTAACATGCAAATGGTGTTCCAAGGTTCTTAACGATTTTTATTTTCCAGTGAAGTAGAAATGAATGATTCACTCTTGAGAATGTGAATTCATAAATGATGTTCTTACAGACAGATGATCAGTCAGTCTGTCCAGCAAGATGAGTAGTTTCATCAGTTGAACTGGTACATTATTTTGTTCTACAATATTTTTTATATAACGATAGTTAGTTGCAAAACTTTATTGAATAAATTACCAATTCACGTTGTACTTCTAAGAAAAACGCAAAATTATAAGTATGTTAATTCTTGGCATATCATGAAAACACCAGTAATCAGTGAATAACTTTTTGTTGGTCGGTAAAAAAAATTGATTGCATTTATTGGTTTCCAGAGATTCCAGCAGGTTGTTTTTTGTCCTTTATTTTCTGTATGTGATATGTCGTAGTCCATATAGACATATTACAAGAGAACCACCACAACATATAAGAAGGGACCAAGAACTGTGGAGTGGAACGCAAATTGTTCAGTTATATAGTAGATTTGCTTTTTGTATGGCTGTTGTTGCAATTGAACCATCTAGGGTTCATTCTTGTCGTGATATCTTTTCTACGTAAGATTTTCGAGAAACACTTTCTCACCTTTCCCACTCCCTTTTTTGATTTATTTTTGCTGCAGTTGTTTCGAAAACATCTGTTCCCCTTTTCTACTTCCTGTCCATTCCTTTCTTTAAATTTGTTGTACTTTAGATAACTCAACCTGTCGTATTCTCCATCTTGCAGTTTTTTGTTTTTACACCGCTAAATCCACCTTTATCTCTTATCTTCAGTACTATTACTTATCCCGCTGCTGTTACCAAAGATACGTCTATGCATGGTTTCTCAATAGATAAGTAATGCGCGTATTTCAAACTGAATCACTGTATTTGATAACACAAATTACAAATGAATATCGTATTCCAATTACTTTTAATGAATTTGGTACTTTTTTCACCACCACCGTCACTTTCCTGGCTCTCGAATTCCCCTATTTGTCAATTGATCCATGAACTGATTCAAACTGTCTTGCAGATCAACTTTGCCTCGTATATATACCACACTCGAAAATTATTTTGTCTGTCATTTCGAGACCAAAAACTATCTTTTTGGGACGAGTATAAGACTGCATATCTCACCGTAGTTGATTCGAGGTATTTCAGTATATTTCATGATAATGTTTTTGAATAATAACGACTCAATCAGGTTTTCAGAGTTTGGCAGAGCTGCCCTCTTACCATCTGACCTTAAAAACTACTCATCATACAAACTAATCGGCTTCGTTAAGAAGCAGGGTTTATTTGACCGAGTTTGAATAAGCGTGAGCCACAATAAACCCTTGCGGGTTGCAGTGGAGGATCGCATAGACCCACTCACTTTTGACGTAACGTAACCTAACCTAAGATTTTATATCTCACTGTATTTGATTCGAGGTATTTCAATTTATTTCACGACGATGTTTAAAAATATAGAGTGATTTTTTGCTGGTATATTTTTGGCAACACTGTTTCTGACAGATCACGCGTGAATCGTGTCTTGTGTCACTGTTAAACTTGTTCAGTTTGGTCTATAATTTAACCATGAATCGACTTACGAATGAACAAGGCTTGCAAATTATTGAATTTTATTATCAAAATTCATGCTCGGTGATGAAAGTGCATCATGCACTTCTTTCAATTTATAGGCAGTTTCATTGGCATACTGAGGGAGCTATTCGGAAACTTGTGACTAAATTTCGAACCCAGTTTACATTATTGGATATTAACCAACCAACACGCATACGTAGAGTGAGGACCGAAGAAAATATTGCGGCTGTATCAGCCAGTGTTCGTGAAGACCGTGAAATGTCGATTCGCCGCCGTGCGCAGCAATTGAGCCTCTGTTACTCCACTACGTGGAAACTTTTGCGAAAGGATTTGGGTGTAAAACCTAATAAGATACAGCTGGTGCAAGAATTGAAGCCACACGACCTCCCAAAATGTGTTCAGCGACAAGGCTCATTTCTGGTTGAATGAATACCTTAACAAGCAAAATTGCCGCATTTGGATTGAAGACCAGCCACAAGCATTGCAAGATCTACCGTTGCATCCCGAAAAAGTCACTATTTTGTGTGGATTATGGGTCAGTGGCATCATCGGGTATCTCACCTTTGGGGCTTGTCAATTGGCCGCCTAGATCGTGTGATTCAACACCTTTGGATTATTTCTTGTGGGGTCATGTTGAAGCTTATATCTACAAGGATTAACCAGCAACGACTGACGCTCTGGAAACCAATATTGAAGCATTTATACGTGAAATACCGGTCGATATGTTAGAGAGAGTGTGCCAAAATTAGACCTTGCGCGTAGGCCATCTAAAGGCCATGAAATCATCTTCAAACATTAAATTATATTGATCGTTCTATCGATTCCAATAACGATTTCATCAATTTTTTCAATTTTTTGTTGTTGTTTTGAAAATCGAATCCTATATCTCTTAAAAAATCACTTGTTAATAACAACTATTCTATTTTATATCAACATGTTCCATGTGCATAATTTACCTGAACAGCTTCGAAAAACACAATTTTATTGATTCTCGGTATAGTGTTGGACAAACAACATAGTCTACTACACAACACAATGTGAGAATGGTATCCCGAAAATTTCTTCAAGTTAGGTATTTCAAACTGAAATTCGTATCAGTCTTTCTCATCATTTTCATTACTTCATTATTGCTTTCGAGTAAATTCACAAGACACCTTGTACATAATTGAATACTTATGGTCCACGAGGTGATTCATCAAATGAGAATCGTGGCTAATGTACATTAAAAACATTTGATGAGGTTACTTTGAACATAGTAATATACTTTTGAAGATGAATTGTGAAAGTTTGAATGACCATGTGTTGAAGCATTGACCCATTCATAAATTGCTTCAGGTGAATAATAAGTAACATCTGTTTTGAATGAGAATCATGGATATCTAACGATTGTATGAACAAATCCAATGTAAATGATAGCAAAGTTTGAAAGCAAATGTGTTAAAGATAATAATAATATGTATTTATTCACTTTCTTAAGATTGTTTACAGTAAATATACATGTACATATCTGTTTGAATCTGTTTTTTCCGTTAATCAGCTGCCGCCCCCATACGAACGACAACTCTCAGAAGTTGAGAAACTTGTGCGAGCTAAGGACTAACGAGGTCTTACCTCTTGACGTGTGATTCCTAACACATATAGGAATGAACAGTGAATAAATAAAATACGTCTTACGAGGCAAAATGATCTGCCTGTGTGTAAGGAATGAGAATACTGAATCTGACATTGAATGCCATTCATGCTNGCTTTAAATTAAGTACTAAGATATAAATTAAAAAGAGCTACATTCGAAAATCT